GTGGGGTGGGGTGGGGTGGAGGGATCTTTGAACCATGGCACTGGATATGCTTAAAACGGCCCTGTATGTATGGAGGCCATTGGCCACATCTACTGCCAGCTTGTGGACCCAGGAGGGCTGGTCGAGGGTGAGTGCAGCTCTCAGATCAATCAAGGGTCGCCATCCCTGTGTGGCAATGGTGCCAATGATACAGTGCTTGTATACAGTACTTCTAAAAGGGTGCCAAGTGGCTGCCAATTAGCTACAGCCACAAGGTTCGAGGTGCTGGTCCTGGTGAACAAAGCCCTATACAACTTGGGACCAGGAGACCCTAAAGATTGTCTCATCCCCTAGATTGCCAACCAGGGCTCTGCAGGAGAGGACATGCTGCAGACATCTTCCTACCAGGAAGCCTGCTCTGTATGATGTCATGATCAGGCCTTTAGCGTAGTAGCACCTTCTCTTTGGAACTCTCCCTCCCAATGTGTATCAGGTAAGTTCCTTCTCTGCTGCCTCTTTAAGGAGCAACTAAAGACCTTCCACTTTTAACAAACCTTCTTAAGTGATCTTTATCCTAGTTCAGGCATAGGCAAACTCCAGATGTTTGGGACTACAATTCCCATCATCCCTAGCTAACAGGACCAGTGGTCAGGGATGATGGGAATTGTAGTCCCAAACATCTGGACTACATACGTGTGTGTGTGTGTGTGTGTTTTGTATGCTTTCTTCACACACAGTAAGCCCGCAATCTACGTGCATTTAAACTGTGCACATTCCACATTCCACTTTAAATTTTTTAAAAGGGGGTAAAAAGAGGGCAGGAGTCTGGGGGAAAAGGCTTTGGTAATCCCTCCCACCATTGCACCTGTTGTCTTTTAACTATACACAATTTTGGCTTTAGGTGCTATCCCTGGCTTAATGTACACACCATTTTTTAAAAAATCTGTCTATGTATATTTTAAAGAATGTTTTATATTTGTAATTTTTAAAATCAGTTTTCATATATGTAACTGTTTTATATATGTTTTTATTTAGCTGCAATTCACTTCGGGGTTTCCCCGCGGGAGTGATTCATAAATGAAAACTATTACTACCACTATGAATAATAATGATATTAGCTACTACAACAACTTACCCATCTCCACCCTGCTCTCGAGATGAGCCAAGGGCCACATGGCCGGGTGCTAAGCTCCTTGATAGCTTGATTCCTCCTCCATGTGCTGTGTGATAAAGCTTTTCCATGGACCTCGCCTCTGGAGTCACGGCACATGCTTGGGCTATGGAATCTCGTGTGGCACACCCTCAAAAATGCACCGTGGCAACTTGAGAAAGAGACGCCTCTTCATCCTGTGAGGTTGGCCCTCTTGGGAACCAAGGGTGTCATTAAAATTAATTGCGAGTTTCAGAATGCTAATAACCCCGGCAGGTTTTTTAAAATAGTGACACCTGAAGGTCCGGCTGCACATTAGGTGCTCAGAAGGACGCACTGCTCCTCCGCTCCACTTGTCTGTTCCTCGCCCTGTATTCCTCCCATCGCTCCACACCTGATATACTTCCTTTGCACGGATTTCTTGAGGGATTAGCAGTCTGAGAGAGGATCTCCGTGGAAGATGAATCACATGGACTCCATCTTCAAGAAGGTGAGCCCAGGAAAAACAAGGCTGGAATGGAGGAGAGATAAGAGAAACCCCTAACATGTTATCTGCCTCTTCACATGTCTCTGGTGTGGATTAAAGGGGAAGACATAGAGAGACATGTATTTTTTTTTAATCGTTTCCCCTTTGAATGGAAAAGTTCCCTCCCATCCCAGGCTCTTAAAATCTTGACCTGAAAAGATGACTTCGGTGGAGCTTCCACGCGGAAATGATCTGTAGAGAGTTTTGCGAAATAATTTGCGGAAGGTGAACTTTAGCTGGTGTTGGACTGAGGCTAAAGAGACTTGGGTTCAAATCCAACTGGCAATCTGGCACACACTTACTCGGGAGTAATTCCCATTGAACTCGGTGGGGCTTGCTTCTGAGCAAGACACGTATAGGATTGCAATGTTTAAGTCAGAAAGCCCACTGGCGGTGCAATCCTAAGCATGTCTACTCAGAAGTAGGGCTCCAAGGATTTCATTGGGAGAGACTGTGGCCCAAAACGCTTTTAGACCGATCACTGTTCTCCAATCTGCCTCCCAGGGTTGTTCTGGACTTCTGGGTGAAAATGTGGGCTAAAAATGCTACATATGCTAGGCATTGTTGAAGTTGGAAGAGATATAAAATAAATAAAGGGTGAAGTGATAACTTTGGAGAAAGTGGGGCAGCATCTGATGAAATGAGAATGTGAACGTAAAGCTTAGCCAGAGCTGTTCATCGAAACCTTATCTCAAATCTTCCCAAGAACAGTATGCTCGTACTAAGAGTGGTGCAGTCAATCCACAACTTAATTTGGATGATCTTGCAGAATCTGGGTAGCGCCAATGATTGTTTTCATGTTCATCTGAGGTTGGCTGGGGTGGTTACGATGTGGGTGAACCCTTTTATAGTCTCGTATCCTGACTTCATGTTTTTAACACTCGCTGGGGTGTGTGTGTTTTTATTGTTCTGTTATTGCTCTGGTTGTAAATCACTTTGGGACTTTTTGTAGTGAGAAGCTATATACAAATTTAATAAACTCAAACCTGCTTCAAAATGTGATAAGCCCTCCGTGATGCATGGGGGAGGGGGAAGGACCCTGATACTCGTTTTGCTACGTTTTGCCCCAAAGTCCTGCCTTGATGACGCACCTGCATACCCAGGGAAGCTGGGCCAGTAAAAGGCATGGCTTATCATTGATCTTCAATGGGTGTGTTGTGACCTACAACTGAACTGTAGTCTACTCTAGAAGCGACATGCCAGCGATACCTTTTTAAGAGAAGGGAAAAGATGGAGATTAAGAGAAAGGGGAGGTGAAGAGCAAACTCAGCCATGAAGCTCATTGGGTGACCTCTGTCCAGTCACTGCCTCAGCCCAACCTACCTCACATGGTCGTTGCAGGAATTAAATGAGGAGGTTATGCCACTTTCAGCTCCTTGGAGAAAAAGGTAGGATATAATAATGATGATGATAATAATAATAATAATAATAATAGGAGAACAGAGGCAGAAGATGAATGGGTGTATAGAATCAAAGATTCTAGGTACATCCCATATGCACTTTATATCTCATTTTCTCATTTTATGATTATGCCCTGACTGGGACAATAAAAGGGTATTGCCACCACAGAAAACTGGAACTGCAACTGGAAAACACCAACAAACGTTACTGTTATTTGCTCTCATTCAGACTTCACAAGCTTATCTCAAATATGGATGATGTTTTGTCAAGTGTTCTATAGAACTAGATCATTATATAGGACTACATCTATATCATTTTGGTGGTGGCGCTGTTGGGGGGAATTGGCCCCAGGCCTCACACATGGAGGGGGGTCACATCAAAACTGACAATCAACATTAATAAGTAGGCATTAACCTATGTCAAAACATAGTAAAGACCCACAGGGAAGCGAGGGCAAAGGGTATATACATCCATAGGGATGTAACTACAAACTGTATTTGTTAGCATAGCCAAATCTCTTTTAAACTGGCATGATACATCAGAGACTAAAATTTTGATACTTCCTGCAGAGTTGTATGGACAAATTAATGTTTTTGCTTAATTTTACTTAAGACTCCCTTTCTCTGCAAGATGAAGAGGGGATTGTTCCTTACTATTAATATGGAATTAATAAAAAATAAATATTTTTTAAAAACTGCTTTAAATGTGCAGATGGGAGCCTTAGAAACTTCTCCATCCTAATATGAGCCCCTATAATCCAAGAAAATATGGAGGGCACCAGGATGGCAAAGGCTGCTCTACAATATCTGTGTTATTTTAACCAGGTTCTGATTTGTCTTCCAACAGCAGAGAGAGGAGAGCTGTTAAGTGCTGGGAGCAGAGCCTTTACGGTGGCTGTGGAAATCCCCCTGAAATGAGAATTTCCGCTTCTTTAGTCACCTGCAGAAATGCCTGCAGGGTGCGGCCTTCCCCTCTGGCTTTTGGAGAGGCAGTTTAAGTATAGCTAGAACAATTCAGAAGGCCATTAATCCCTATCCCCCACTGCAAACAAGCCTAAGGATGGGTAAATGAAATAAATATATGTTATTCCCCACTTAACTCCTTCCTGCTGTTTCCTGTGTGCCACACTTTTGTTTGTAAGGTCCTGGGGGCAGAGACCTGCCCTCTTACGCTTTGCAAAACGCCATGAATGTGCCAAAGTGTTGTAGGGGTTTGCATGTTGGACTAGAGCCCTGACAGAGACCAGGGTTCAAATCCCTCACCCAGCCATGAAGCTGGCCGGGTGGTTTTGGGCCAAGTCATCCACCCAACTCTCAACCTGAGGTTGTTGTGAGGAAAGCAAAGCAAAGGGAAGAGAGACATCTTACACCCAGCCTGAGCTCCTGAAGAAATAACCACCATATTAGTTTAGCTTTGTTTTTATGATTTTGTTCCTCAAAAAAAAAAAAAAAAACACCAAAAAAAACACACCACTGTATTTTTGCTTGCCTCTTTTGAGGGAAAGGAGCAGAAAGCTATGACGTACACTAAAAATGCCAGGGTTTCCAAGGTTTCGTGGGCTTAAAAAAAAGAAAGAAAAAGGCTGTACTTCGAAAATTCCTGCAGCTCCCCCGCAAAAAAGAGAGGAATTTTGGAGGCAAGGCAGGTGTTTGAACTCCCTGGAGCAAATGCAGGAGTCAGTGTGTTGCAGTGGTTCGAGTGTCGGACTAGGACCTGGGTTCAAATCCTGCCGCGACCTCCCTCACAGGGTTATTGTGGGGATCAATTGAGGAGAGGGAGAGCCATGCGCGCCACCTCGGAGAAAAAGGCGGAGTGTGAATGCAACCAATCAATAAAGATCACAAAGAGTTGAAGGATCCGATCCCGCGGCTGCAAAGCGCCAGCCAGTTCCCGCTTCGGTCGGGTTAAGGGAACAAGCGAAAACGAAACCGGAGGTGGAAGCGGCGGCCGGACAGTCTCTGCGCGTCGAGGAGCCGTGAGTCAGTCCGTCGGCCGCCCGGCTGGTCTCGGGATTGCAGGCGGAGCTCCGCCTCCTCCTCCTTCGCCGGGCTTTCCCCCGTCACGCCGGGGACTGCTCCGCCAGTGGCTCCGGGTGCGAGTTCGGAGACAGGTGGCCGTCCTCCCGGCTCCGGCTGCTGCTGCTGCCTTCCTTGCTCCCGGGGCGCCAACTCCGCGGAGGCGCTGGAGGTGAAGCTGGCTGCGCGCGACGCGACGCCGGGAAGCGGGGCAGAGACCGACGCCCGCCCGGTCGGAGAGCCCCCTCGGAGAGCCGAGGGAGAGAAAGCAAGTAAGCATCGGGGCCACCCACCCAAAGAACGACGGCTGCTGCTGCCGCTGCTGCCCATTTTTGCTGAAAGGTTTCCCCTCGCCCCGAGTTCCGCTTTCCGAATTTTCCATATTGAAATTAAATTAACCTGTTGCCCGCCCTGAGCTTCTGATATATGGCGAGATATATAGTGCTTTATAGACATCTCCCTTTCAGTTTTAATATGAAAAGGGACCTGCGTTTTAAACTTCCGCAGCAGGTGCGTGGTGATAGGAAAAAGGGGCACTTTCTCTTCCCATTTTACAGCTGGGAAACTGAGGCTGAGAGTGACTTGTCCGCGGGATAGCATGCCAAATAGCATCTTCATTAGGAGGGCATATTTATTAAGGAGATGAACTTATGATGACAATATCCCATTCCCACGTGCTGTGGTGCTTATATAGACTTGGGCTGCAATTCTGTACACACTTAACCTGGGAGCAAGCCCTGTTGAACTCAATGGGGGTCACTTCTGTGTAGGGCCAATTCCTTTTACCCAGAGTGCCACAGCCCCATTCCAGCGACATGATATTCAGATAATTTTCCTTTGGAGATAATGGGGTTTCCGACCTTAAGTTAACCAGGCTGTAATTCTGTGCACCTTATATCTGGCTGTAAGTTCCTATTGAGCTCAGTGGGGCTTGCTTCTGAGCAGACGTGCATGGGATTGCAGCTTCAAGTGGCTTTTGATTGGTAATGTGAATCTGGAAACTGTCTTGGCCAGAAGGCAAACTTGCATTACAAATGCCTCTTCGGTCTTTTGCATTGACAGCCCATCAGATAATTCACAGTGCTAGTGGGAGGGGATCTCAGCTGTGATTTCACCCATCCCTGCAGAGGAAATGAATGCGAGTGTGTTTGGGAAGTCCCCATTCAAAGCTCCCCTCTGGCGGTAAGCTTCTGGTGTTCAGCCTCAGACCCTCCCATGACAGCTATGGGAATAATAAGGCTGGTCTGCCTTATAGCATTGTTGCAAGGAATGGTATGCGTGAAGTGTTGTGGATACTCTAGAGAGCTGCTAAGTACTGTTAAATTTGTTTAGGGTCAGAGTGTTCAAAGCTTTTATATAAACCCTGCACAAATAGTCCCTAGTAAATCAGTTTGTACCTGTAACATGGAGTGTGTTTGTCTATATAAAATAGTTTTTTTTAAAAAAAATAGATCAGTTATTGCATTTTTAAATGCAAAAAAAGGTATTGGCAGCTGAATGAGTCCCCATTCCACTGCAAAAAAGGAAACACTTTCAATATATCTGAGGCTAGTGAAGAAACTGAACATAGAAAGTATTTGTGATTTTAAAAGTAGCAGCTGCTCAGGTTAAGTGCGATTGAGATAGAAGGTCTTTATCCATGCAGGTTATTGTGTCAGGACATTTTCCTGCAGCTCCTGTACCCAAATCCCTATGTCTTAAAGCCTTAAACCATTGAAACTTATCTTAAGAGTGCAGTGCCTTGGGTGCCATTCAGTGCTAGTCCTACTCAGAGTAGATCCACTGAAATGATGAAGCCTAAGTTAGCAATGTCCATAGACATCAGTGGGTCAACCCAAAGTAGGACTAGTGTTTCCCTATTGCCCACTGTTACATCAAACATGCCAGTGGATCATTATTTAAAATAAGTCAGCTTGGTAAAAGGTAAGGTAAAGGTACCCCTGCCCGTACGGGCCAGTCTTGACAGACTCTAGGGTTGTGCGCCCATCTCACTCAAGAGGCCATGGGCCAGCGCTGTCCGGAGACACTTCCGGGTCACGTGGCCAGCGTGACAAGCTGCATCTGGCGAGCCAGCGCAGCACACGGAATGCCGTTTACCTTCCCGCCAGTAAGCGGTCCCTATTTATCTACTTGCACCCGAGGGTGCTTTCAAACTGCTAGGTTGGCAGGCGCTGGGACCGAGCAACGGGAGCGCACCCCGCTGCGGGGATTCGAACCGCCGACCTTTCGATCGGCAAGCCCTAGGCGCTGAGGCTTTTACCCACAGCGCCACCCGCGTCCCAAGTCAGCTTGGTACCATTTGCCAAATGGTTGGAGCCAGGTTAGATGAGTTTAGCTTGAAATCAGTGGGACAAGTTAGTTATGGCTTAACTTAGCTCCCACTGAAATCAACGGGCCTCAAAGTACATGCAGCTAACTTAAGTCTGGATCTGACCCTATGAGCTTGGTGATGATGTCATTGACGTACGCTAATAATGTAAGCAAAAAGGAATGTTTTCCTGCCTTGAGGAGGCTGCAGTATTTCAATAGTGGGAGAGGTGACAGGTGAGAACTAAGGAGTTAAGCCAGAGGTTTTGTGGGAAAGAAAGGAAGGTCTGGAGGAAGAAAGAGAATGTTTTGGACTAAAACTCCCATCAGCCCCAGCAAACATGGTCACCCATTGTCAGGAATTTTGGGAGCTGTGGTTCATAACAGTGTGGTATAGTGGTTAGTGTGTTGGACCTTTGGCCAGTCACTGCCTGCCTCTCAGCGTAACCTACCTCAGAGGGCTGTTGTGAAGATAAAATAGAGAGCGGGGAAAACCATGTATACCACTGTGAGCTCCTTTGGAGGTGGGATATAAATGTGACGATTATAATAGCAACAGTAACATATTCTGGCTATTCCTTACTTTGGTGTTTTGAAAGAAGGAGATGCCAAAATTGGGTTCAATTCAAACGTGCTTATACTTAGAGAAGACCCCTTGAAGTCAGTGGGGTTTCAGTTAGCCATCACTAAAATCAACCCATTGTTTGTATGTTAACACTATGGATGGAGAATAGCAAGCAAAAGAAATGTGGTTAGCGCTTGTCGTGTCACTTGGGCAGTTGTGGAGCACGTAAAAAAGTAGTATGCAGAAGTTGCCATAGTTCCTTTTTCTACTTTTCATTGTTGCTGGGCTCTCCTGGCGTGAGATTTTGCATCATCTCGAGCGAAGGGGCAGCCGTGAGCAGAAGCAGTGGTTCTCCTGAGTGAACACGAAAGTGAAAGGGAGCCTTCTTGATTTCATTGGGTCACCCCCTGAGGAAATTTCACCGGGGATTTCTCTGCTCTTTCTCTTAAGACTTACAGGAGGGTGGCAAATGGTGTCTAGGCTTGGTGCCTCTGCCTTTTGAAGAGAGCTCAGTGATAGGACATGCGCTTTGTCTGCAGAAGGTCCCTGGGGTTTCCGCTTAAATGGAGCTGGGAGCTGGGAAAGAGGCCCCTGTCAGGGGCAACCAAAGCTTCACCCTTCAGATGTTGCTGGACTACAACTCCCATCATCCCTGAGCATTGGCACTGATAGGTGTTGTAGTCCATCAACACTATATTGGCTCTCCCTAGCACCAGTTTAGGGGTTTTGAGAGCTGCTTAACCGTCGAGAGCGGAGGGGCAGTGCTAGCGAGATGGGCCAACATCTTCCGGCTTCATTCACATGCCCAGCTTGGAAACACGACTGGCATCCCCTGAAAGCCACTGCCTTCCCCTTTGGGGTGGAGAGGGTGAAAATATGCTGCCAACCGCAGTTCCCAATGTCATGTCTGTCTGGATGCTCCCGACCTGACTCACCTGCAGTCTGTTTTGTTTACCTGATAGCAGCACGTTGCATGAATCAGATTTGTGGAGAGAAGTGTAGTAAGCGGGGGAAAGGAAACAGGCCCGCCTCAAAATTAGGTCATGTTTCTGCCCAATGGGGACACGGGCAGGTGTCCTTGTCCCAGATAAAGGAATGCTTGCTTACGCCTCCTCTTAATAGCTTTGCTGGTCAGCTACTCCAGAGTTATCTGGAATGCCACCTTCATGGGAACCTGCAACGTTTCCAACCCATCACGTGGGGAGCATTCCCTGTGTGGCACTTGGGCAAAGTCTTCTTGGCCAATCCCAATGTGACAACAAGTGGCTTCCCCAAGCTAGCGTCCCTCCAGGGGACTTAGCACTTTGTCGGCACTTTGTTGTGCAAGAGGCTCAAAGGGTCAGCTGTGCTGGAATAATCTCTCCGGCCTCCTCCCTATGTCCTGGCAAAGCTCCTTTCCTGGAAAATGTGCCACGCACATACTCGGAAAGATTGCCTTGTGAATTTCTTTGGTGGTGTTGCTTCAGAGTCTGCGTGGGACCATCATCACTGCTAGGAATGGGAAACAACAGCCACAGGCCTTTCCCCACCAAGAAAATTAAAATCTGGTCCTGATACAACCTAGATACAGAGCAAAAGTGCCTTGAAGGGGTATGTACACTGGAATCAGGGGCTCTCCAGATGTTGCTAGACTACAATTCCCATCATCCCTGACCATTTGCTGTGCTAGCCGGGGCTGATGGGAGTTGGAGTCCAGCAACACCTGGAGGATCACATGTTCCTTACCCTTGTGTAACTCTGCTGATTTAAACTGCTTTACTTAGTCATTCCCTTTCCTCAGGGAATTCTGGGAGTTGTAGTTTTGTGCATTCAGGTAGGTAGCTGTGTTGGTTTGACGCAGTCAAAATAATAATAATAAAAATAGTCCAGTAGCACCTTAGAGACCAACTAAGTTTGATCTAGGTATAAGCTTTCGTGTGCATCTGAAGAAGTGTGCATGCACACGAAAGCTTATACCCAGAACAAACTTAGTTGCTCTCTAAGGTGCTACAGGACTATTTTTTTTATTTTTTATTAGTTTTGTGCAGTGAGGCTAAGGAGCTCAGGAACCACAGTTCTGAATATTTACAAGGCGTGCATGTGTGTGTTCAAAGAGTCCATTAATTATCACCCTATGAAGATAAAGGGAAAGGGTGTTTGGGATATTTAGGGGTTCTTGAAGACAGGGTGGAGTATCTAATTCACTCAAAGGTGATGGCTGTTTTAGGTCACCTTTTGATGAGAGGGGCGTGGTCCACCATGCCAGGTTTCACTGCCTGTCTCACCACAAGGTTGTTGATCTGAAATTGCTGGATCTACAATGCAGAGTATTCCAGATCTTCCAGAGCTGGTTTAATGTGTGAATAGAACGAAGGGGCAGATTCATGCAACTTTCGTATCCACTGTTGGATGATTCATTGT